CATTTGATTTACCTGTGAAGAGGGTGGGCAGATCTTAGGGAATGTGGTTTATTGAAGACATAGGCGACGCCTCCGATGCACCTGCTGCTCCAGAGGTTACCAGAGCCACTCAGCACTCGCCGGGCACGTGGTGCGCAGCTGTTAACCTGTCTGAAACGCTGGTTTCTCTTTGCCAATTAGCAAGAGCCACCAGAATTCGTTCGCTTTTACTTGACAAAGCCAACTGCACACCTCCAGTCTTCCTCGAGGCAGTGTGAGCTCCCCTGTGTCCTGCCCTGACCTGGCCAGGGGTCTTCATTACCTTACACCCCACGGGACGTCCCTGGTCTGCCTCGCTGAAGACAGGGAGCTGCTGCGCCCAAGCGACCAGCGCTGCAGGTGCCTCAGCGCCGCTCTGGGTTCCAGCGGCTGCATCCGCAAAGCAGAAACCACCCGAGTTACTCTAACGGGATAACTCAGCGCACGGAGGCCTGAAAAAGCAAACCTGGAACACGGGGCAACCCTTACCCAAGCTGGGGGGCCGGGAGGGTGGGGCTGCCTGGGCTTAGAGCTCGGAGGAGGGGCTCGCCAGGTTCAGACGCGAGTGGGGGAGGGGTTAGGGTTAGGGCTAAGGGGCTTAGGGTTTTAGGGTTAGGGTTTCAGGGTTAGGGTTAAGGAGGGTGCTCTGTGGCGCTGGGACTCAGAAGCAGCCGGCCCCTCTCAGACCCGCCCTTGGCTTTCCGAGCTTCCGAGGGGTCTGCTCTGCCTCGTGGGTCTGCACTGCCCGCAGGGATGTCTGCCTGATGGCCCGGAGACCCACAGTAGGACGCGAGGATGGTGCCAGTTGGGGCGGACCGCCGTGAGGCCTCGGGAAACGGTCGGGAGGGGTGTGTCGCGTCCCGCCGGACATTGCGCGGCGAGGCCTAACCTCAGAAGGCCCCGGCGCCGGGCGATGCCGGAGCGGGCGGAGAGCGCACAAGTGCGCAGGCGCAGCATCGCCCCATCCCGCGCGGCCGGCGGGGCGGGGTCAAGGTTGCGGGTACGTGCGCGCGGCCGGCGGGACGGGGTCGAGGTTGCGGGTGCGTGCGCGCGGCCGGCAGGACGGGGTCGAGGTTGCGGGTGCGTGCGCGCGGCCGGAGGGACGAAAACACGATTGCGGGTGCGTGCGCGCGGCCGGCAGGCGCGGGGCTGCGGGAGCGGGGCGGGGGGGTCCAGGCACGGCGACCGCGACCGTGCGCACCCGCTAGGTCCGGGGGCCAACGCTGTCCGTGCGACGGCGCCTGGTGCCCAGCTCCGGTGCGGGCGGCCCTGGCCCTGACCTTGGCCCGCCTGCGCCCCGGCCCCTGCGGCCCGCGCGCCGGAGGCTCGTTCTCGGGGCCCTGACGGTTTGGCGGCTGCGGGTCAGAGCCCAGCTTGACCCTCCCTTTCCTTCTTTACGTTTTTTTGTTTTTTGGTTTTGCAAATGTTTTTCAAACTTGGGGTAAAATATGCATAAAACATGAAATTTGCCATTTTAATCGTTTTTTAGTGCGCAATTTAGTGGCATCCTTCCCTTTCCTTTCAGTGCTGGTCCCCAACCCCGGCCGGTCCGGGAAAACAGGGCGGAGCATCAGCAGCTCGGGCCCGCCCCCCTCCGTGGAAAATTCTTCCATGAACCGGTCCCCGGTGCCAGCAAGGCTGGGGCCCGTGTTTCAGTGCCTTAAATCCGGTTTTGTTCGGAAGCGGGAGGGCCTGTTGCTAAAATACAGCTCCCAGGAGAGCGCGCGCCAGCCACGGGCGGGCTGTGGCGTGACTTCTCACGAGGGGAACGTGCGGGACCACGCTGGGGTCGGGGCGGAGCCCTCCCGGTGCCTGTCCCCTGCGCCCTGCAGCCCCGCCGGCGAGGCCCCCTGGTGGCCGGCCCGCGGGTGCCGCGCGCCTGTGACGCCCTCATGGCTCCGCCACACGCCAGACCTGCGGTTCCTTATTTTGTAGGGCGAGAGCGATGGTGCCCCGTCGGGTGCCCAGGTGGCCGTCGTGGCTCCTCCGGGCCTCTCCGGGATGGGCGCAGACGGCTGGCCCGCTCGGAGCCTGCGTGCGGCAGAGAGGATGGCCGGGCAGCTCTTGGGGGGCCGGGCTGGCCAGCCCCCCGGCCCGCAGAGGCTGCTCCTCGACGCCGTCCCCCCCTCCCGCGGTGGTGCCGACCCAGGAGCGCTACCCCGTGCTGCGGCTTCCGTTCTCCACCGTGTCTGAGCAGGACGTGGCCGCCTTTGCACGCATCGTCCCCGGCCTGGTCACCACGGACCCCGCGGAGCTGGCGGCTCACAACGTGGACTGGCTGAGGACGGTCCGAGGTGAGCTGGGGTCTGTCCTCACCGTACTCTCCGGAGGGTGGGCTCGGGAGCCAGCTGTGCGGCGGGGCACTGGGCGGGGCACTGGGCGGGGCGTGGAGTTTGCGCCCCCTGTGCCTTTTCGTGCCTTTGGAGAAGGCTGTCCGGTGGTGGTGACTCTGCGGCGTCCTGAGTCAGTCTGTGAGGTCTGCCGGTGTGCCCGGCGTCTGCGAATGAAGACAAACGGCCCGTGGCTGCTCTGAGCGGCGCGTGTGTTGACGTCCACACGCTGCGTTTCGGCTCTGGCTTTATTCTCAGGCTGTTGGAACACATGACCTCGAACTGGGGGGCTTCAAACAGCAGAAGTTCATTCTCTCAGTTATGGAGGCCAAAAGCCTGGAGTGACCTGTCAGCCGGGCCTCGCTGTCCCCAGGGTCCCCAGGGGCGGATTCTTGCCGCCTCCTCCGTTGCGCGTGGCCCCTGCTGCTCCTGGCTGGTGGCCTCCTCACTGCGGCCTCCGCTTCTGTCTGCACACGGCCTTGTCTTCTCCGTCTGTGTCTCTTCTTCTGAATCTTGCGAAGACATTTGTCACGGGAGGTGTGGGACAGGGTCAGGCTCCGGCGGAGTTTGGGTGCAGGAGCCTCCAGCATTGCTGATGGGCTGAGGAGGAGGTGAGGGGGAAGAGCCAGAACGCAGGCTTCTCACTGGGCTCCCAAACTCGCCGGGCCGATGAAGAGAGTTACGGGAAGAGCAGGTCTGTTGGGGAAAGGCAGAGGTTTGGGTTTGGCTTTTGTTGTTGTTTGTTTGCTTGAGACGGAGTCTCACTCTGCCGCCGCAGTAGGGTGCCGTGGCGTCACCATAGCTCGCTGCAGCCTCCCAAGCAGCTGGGACTGCAAGGCACGCACCACCACACCCAGCTGATTTTCATTGGCTAATTGTTCTTATTGTTTGTAGATCTGTCAGGGTGGCAGTCTGCTCTCGCTCGTCGGTGTGCTCTTGGCCAAAGAATGACCAGACACACCAGTGTCAGGTCCAGCGTCTTGGCCGACTGTTGTCCTAGTTCTTTGGCTCCTTGCTGGGAAAACATTCACAAGCTGGGCTGGTGTCACGGCGACCACAAGCAGGCAGCAGTTTCACACAAGTAGCTTTTTATGATAAAACGGCACAGGTCTGTCTCCGCGAGTGGAGAGAGACTGACTCTGGGGATTCTCGAGTTGTTTCCTTTTATTGGCTGTTCCAGCAAGGGGCTTTCAGGAGGTGTGGGCTGTTACCAAGTGATCAACAGGTATTCTCACGGTTGTATCCGCATCCCCGAGTTCCTTGTCTGAAAGCCCCAACTGGGGGCCTGAAGCACAGGGTAGATTTAAGGTAATGACATAATTAATTAGCCTTAGGTTACGCTTGGTCACTTTCCAAACCGTACGGTGCCTAGGCTGGGGGATTCCCAGGTTGGTACAGTGTTGCCTCCTTCCCCAGGTGTAGCAGTTGCTCCGGACAGGATTAAG